GTCGGTAACCAAATACTTCATGTCGTGATCGCAGTAAGTGATGCAGGGAAATGTAGTTGACATCGAGAAAAGACTCGTGAAGGTTGAACTCAGCCATGTCCAGCAGTGGCGCGTTTACATCACGTTGGGGTTACCAAACAATCTGTTTATTGAGTCCTGGACATGGTTTCGTTCCAATCTAACAGAACAGCCCCTCAATTGGTGCCAGCACACAGCATCCCTCCCACTATCCAAAGCCCTACCTCTATCATCGGCGATATCTCCCTCACTCAAACCAGCAAATATCGACACTTCATACGCAGTTGCCGTCGATGCCTAACTCAACAACTCAACCACCGACTCTCCGCAGCGACAGAGAATGGCAGGTGGCGAGGCACTGATGAACTTCGGTTCGATGAAGTGCTTATGACCCATCTGGTGGGCCTCAGTGGTGGACCGACTGCGTCAGGTGCGTCCGTGCGTATGTTTGTGTTTCCGGTACCAGCTGATAGTCAGTGTTGTGATTGGCTGAATGAAGGCAAACAAACCCAAAACAGTGCTGTATCAATCTACCCCCCCCCCCCAGACTCTGTCGTCTCCCCTCTGTTATCATAGCTTGGCCGACTTCGGCATGGTAGGTGGTTGCCTGTTCGTGACCCCTATCGTCCATACGAAGCTTGTTTGCTTCGGGAAGCCAATGGATCGGTGTGCGTCCATTCCTGAGTGAATATATATCTAGACAACTTCTTACAGGTCGTCTTCACTCGAGTCTGCAGTTAAACCAGTCGTAGGGTTGGTCGTTGCTAAGCGGTAGTGAGACGGAAGCAGGTCAATCGTTGCCGTGCGAGGCTGACTGCGTCCTTCCTGTCTTTTAAAGCCTTAAGCCTTTTGATAGGCGCCGACTGATTTACCTGTTATACTAGAAACCACAGCTGTGTTAATTGCCCACGAATAATCCGGGTGACAATTATACCAATAAAAATGCAATTTAAATCAATGCTTCCGTTGGTAACGTATGCGGAATAAGGTCCTCAAGACCATTTCATTAGTAATTTAACCCATTTAGTCACAGTTAAACCATTACATACGAAGTCATCTATAGAGGAGACCAATTTCTTTTATTTCTTGTCCTTCATTGTAGCTAGTTGGCGGAAATTATTGCTGAACGACCACTACCAAACTAGGTATCCAAGGGACATAATTAGCACTTCAGGTTAAGTGAATGATCCCCGCGTTCAGAATGTTAGCAGGAAAGTCAAGTCATTAATTACCAATTGAGCAACAGTTAACATTTTCCAGCTCATTCATTTTGATCCTCTATTTAAAGCTAATAATGCGTTCCTTCCTTCGCCCCCATTAATTTCCTTATATACGCTCCCATCAAGTCAGCGTCTGTTTACTAGTTTCTAGTCTAGCGATTCATAGAGCAAACGCATATCTGGCAAATTGGAACTGCAGCTCATAGTCCACAGTCGAACACAACTACCATTTTAATCAGCCGCCAATTTACTTATTACAATTTGCTCCTGCGGTCCCGCAAACTACAGTCCATACCCACTCGGCTAGAATTCAGAATTTATTTTAAAAGTCGAGCCTGTTAAACCCATGCGATGTCTTCGGCTGGCGTTAAACAATGGGTACACCTGAATTTCACCTAGATGCTGTTGGGCCTTAACAAAATATGGAATCAAAATATAGACTTGAAGCGACCTCTCCGAAATATTCAGTAGGACACGTTAATAGGAACTCTCGCAGTAAGGGTGGCCTTAAGCTAAATTTCAGAGAGGAAACCTCTACTCGTGCTCCAACCCTGGTATTAAACCTAGTCTTTCTGGCATATGACGCAAGACCACCATATTACTTTATTACCAAATCATACAAAAGGCTAAAACTGGGAACGTCTGACTACAGCGCATAAACGTACAATAGGTGAGCCAAATCATGAAATGGCAACCGAAATCCGAAATGCGTTGTAAAACTAGCCAGCCTGCAACATAATTCTATAATATTTCAGTTACCTTAGGATGCCGGCTTTTGAACGAACTTCCTTCTGGCTGCATGCAAAAGCTATTCTCTGAAAAAAAAATGACAACTTAACTGACATGCATTTTTCTCATTGATTTTCGATGTCCCTAAAAGTCCAATTGAATTTCATGGAAAACCTGCATACAAATATTCCTTCTTTTGCTCATGCGGTAGATAATTACTTCTTATTTCAATCTCATACTGGAAGGAGGGACATAATCAGGTTTTAAAAAAGTTTTCCGATTCCCGAATAATTTTGAACCCGCTCTTTGGTCACACTTAGATTCAGGGTTTCTAAACTACAAGCCGTCTATTTTTCGTGTTGGGAAAACCACACACTTCGGTAATAAAGTCGGGACTATATAGAATTCATAAAATTTAGCAGTGGATTTGATCAATATTGTTAAATTTACATGCCGCATTGGTAAATGCAGAGACATGACGATTTATGAACGGCCACTTCAAGATATTTAAAATTCCCGCAATTGGAAACTTTTTAAAAACCGAATTATGTCCTTCCTTCGCGTATAAAATTAGAAGAAGACGCCATTTGCTACCGGATGAGCAAACGAATGAATATTTTTATGCATATTTCTATGAAATATAATTGGACTTTTATGAGGCTCGAAAATCAATGAGAATAATGCATGCTACATAAGTGGTCATTTTTACAGAGCGTAGGTTTTGCATGCAGCCGGAAGGAAGTTTGTTCGAAATCCGGCATCCTGAGGTAACTGAAATATTATAGAATTATGTTGCTGGCTAATTGGTGCTACAACCCTACTAAATTAATATTTTCGAAACGCAAACGCATTTTGGAATTTCGGTTGACATTCCATGAGTTGGCCCACCTACTGTAAGCTGCTGTATTAGACGCTGGAGACTCTTAATGAATACACCGAGAGAACCACGGAACAAGGGCAGTTGAACTTGCATTCCGCCAATCCGCCATTTCACACCTACTGTCGATAGTTCTTCAAGGGTACTGCTTAGGGAATAGTCGTATACTTGCTCCACTGACACGCCCAATTCTAGACCTGCCACCATCCGTGACAGGTTTGTCAGCTCCTGAATTTTGGGCTAATTCACGTTAACCGTCGAGACACTGTACAAGGCCTTAACAAAAACGACGAACAGTCCTCTCTTTTAATTTGTTATCTTCATGTAGAAATTACTTTTCATAAGACACCATTGAGCGCTCGTGCGATAATATCAACGAAATTAACGACGAATTCGGCATTATCGATGAATATAATAAGGGAATTGCACTCCCAAAACAGTGGACAAAGTTAAGGAAAAATTCTAGGTTGTTCGAGCGTCATGCTAAGGTTCAGTTCTGTTTGAAGCTTAGCTCGAGAGCTCGTGGAGACCAAATGTGCAACGGTAACCAACCGTGTCAAGGTTAATAGTACGTTTTCACCGGGTACGTTAATACTCTCGGTTTCAGTGATTTTAACTGATCATCGTTCCACTAAAGTAAGCACATTCCCCCACCCGAACGTAGCAAGTTTTTGAGAACGAATGATGGGCAAATATAATCTAACTACATATGTAATTGTAATGGCCCACCGGCAGACATAAAACGACTGCCCTGACGAACGTTTGTCAAGGGTTCTCGGCTGGGGAGATTATTCACTTACCTTTGCTATCCAATCATAATTTCACCAGCATTCTACAGTTCTGTAATAAAATTTAGGCATAATTAGCGGACAGCAGAGCTGTGGTAGCTCTCTCATGGTCTTCCAGGTTTACGTGGTCGAAAACTAGTGAATGTGGCTAGCAACCTGCTCTGACCTCAACGCTTGTTGGACTTGGCAGTTCGGCCCTTTTGAGAACAGCACTGCAGCATAAATGCAGGCCGTACAAGGCAGATATTTTTCCCACAGTCCTATTCAATATTCACGGCTAGCCGTTGCTTGTGGGCTTTTTCAGACCACTTGGTCGGTCAGTATGCCGTAGCCTCTGCTTTGTACAAGGAAGTCTTTGCACTACTATGAACTGCGCTCTCCAAATCCCAAATTCGGGGATCCGTTTTAGGCCTGAAAAGGTAGAAAAGTCCGAACTCACAAAGATCTTTCGTTGCCAGACTTTCTTCGCCTAGTTTATTTTTAAAAGCAAGACAGACCCGTAAAAAAACAACCGATTTTTTCATTTCCTGGAGGTAACTGTGCACGTAGTAGAAGGCTGACCACAGGCAAGCAGCATATATCCGACCGAACATTTTTGCCACTTACTGTACTGTGGAAGCTTTCCAAGCAGTTTTTTTCCAACTCCGGGTAATAAAAACGCACCTAAAACATTCGTGTTTTAGGCATGCTTCGGAATGCGTGTGTGCTTCAGTCATTTTCAAACAGCATTTCATTCGACCTGCCGGGTTGACAGGTACGCCTCGTCGTTGATGTCGCAGCCAACAACCAGAAATGAGCCCCACCTGAAAGGGAACTAGCTCCATTTCAATCACCTGTCCACCCCACCCCCCACCCCCTGGTGTGCGGACAGATCCACCACATGGTTTTACGACTGCTGGTTTGTAAAGCACCTGCTAGACTCCCCCCCCCCCACTCCCCACCCTCGTTCTACCATGAGGCAAGAAATTTCACATAGCCGCCCACGTTCACGCCAGTCCCGGAAACCGCATGTCTCTTCCCCCCCATCCCTCCCGTCCTCACCCTACTGTGACCGTTCGCAGTGCATCAACACCATACCGTGCTCTGTCCTTTCAGTCACTCCCTTGTGGCAGTGTTCAGAAGTATAGCACTGCTCCACTAACCCACGTGGGAGTACAAAGGTTGAGCCATGGTTAAGTGGGAACGTTTGTTTACCTGAACTGTGGTAATCAATAATTTATGGTAGTACTCTCATTTTTTCAATGAATCCTCGGCAGCCCGATGTAGGTATACGGGGTAACTGTTGGTGTCGACATAGCGGCATGCACCATGTGCTGAAAAATAAGAAACAACTGGCCAAAATTTTCGACATAATTTCAGATAAAATGTATGGGCAAAGAAGAAGAAGAAGAAGAAGAAGAAGAAGATGATGATGATGATGATGATGATGATGATGATGATGATGATGATGATGATGATGATGATGATGATGCTCAGCAGAAGAAGAAGAGGAGGAGGAGGAGGAGGAGGAGGAGGAGGAGGAAGAAGAAGAAGAAGAAGAAGAAGAAGAAGAAGAAGAAGAAGAAGAAGAAGAAGAACAAGTACAACAAGAAGAAGAAATGGAAGAAGAAGAAGAAGAAGAAGAAGAAGAGGAAGAAGAAGAAGAAGAAGAAGAAGAAGAAGAAGAAGAAGAAGAAACGAGCCTGATCGAGCATCCGAAACATTTTTTCATTTGCCTGAGTTTTCGAACTCGCGCAGGAGCCCATTGCTAGAGACAAAAGCAACAATATTACTGGTGGCAGATACAGACGTACTTTTAAAAATGACTGTCCAGGACCTCCTGTGCAGACGCCAGATTAATACGTTGATTGGCTGGGTTTTCATCTGAGGCTCAGGGGTTTCAGTCAATTTTCTGCTTGTCTTGTTTCCGGCACGGGTGATTACCTTGGTGGATGCGAAGTTAAACTCGCGACCCCTTTCTAAGGTGTGATCGGCCACTAGTGTCAATCCATTACTCAAAAGGTCTGTAAGCGTATGCTACGCCAGTATCAGCAAATCACGGCTTTTTACAGCCTGGAATGCGCTGGCAGTTCCCTGACACCTGGTTCCCTGCCAGCAGATGCGCTCGCGCTCCCGCTGGGTTTACAAGTAGTGGGCATGGCTGCCAATCATCATTCTCGTCCTTCTGACCCCTGCTGGAATGTTGTTGTTGTTGTTATTGGTCCAAAACCTAGCCATTTGATGTGTGGACCAGGGGATACGGAGTGGAACATCAAGGCGCGGACCCGACGTCGCCATCCACCTGCGTCCTCCCCCGCCTTCAGTTTATTTAGCAATGCCTTGACACGGGGTCCAGGTTGGGAGTGGGAAGGAGAGAGTGTGGAAGATGTTGCGCAAGTCATCGTGCCTGCTTCGCTTTTCAGCGGAACACATGGTGCACATCGCGTGTGTATTAGAGCTCTGGGCCAGCGGGAAAATCGACCACCTAATCCTACGGCGATGCGCTCGGTCGCTTTTGAAACGTCCTTTATGTGTGGTAGAACATGCCACATCAATGATGGTGTTTTTAGCGGGGTCCTCAGAAAAAATACACGTAAAAATCGGCTTATAAATGCATTTGGATAGCCATTCCACATAAACTGATCGCGAAGGTATCAGGCCTCACTTTCTTTCTCTCCGGGGTTGCTGCGGCGAATCTGGGCTACTTCTATGTGCTCTCTCACGCAGCATCTTTGTCAAACTACCAAGTGGTTGTTGTAAAAACTGAGAAGTTACATGGTGTTTCTTGTCCTTCTGTTAAACATGGTCTCTATATTGTCGTCTGGTATTGCTTGGCGAGCACATCAAGGAATGGCAGCTGCTGCTCCTGCTTTTCTTCCCTCGTAAATTATAAATTAGGCGAGACTGAGTTGAGCAGATAATGGGAATACTGCGGCATATTCTTCTTGACGATAATATACGTGTCGTCAAGGTAACGACGCTAAAAAGCCGGCTCATGTTGGCCTAATACAGTCTTTTCTGTCTATTTCAGGGCCAGTTCTACTACTTAGCCGGTGATCGGAAACCCATTGGCGTTCCTTTTGTCTGCTCTAAAGATTCTCCCGCAGAGATGAGGTCGGTTTTTTGGCAAAATTTATGAAGCCGGCTCTGGCCTCCAACGTATGCCTCCTGCAGCTTGTTTGTGAAATATTTCATACGCCAAATTTGACGCGACGAATTTGAATAACGAAGTTGCATCGAAAGAGACCATGACTTCGGCCGTTTGAATCCTCCGACCTCGAGGATCTGCAAGGGACTGTGAATCAGGTCGGAATGAGTTTGTGGTGAGGTACCTGACTAATTTACCTTTGACAATTCAGTCCCATTTCCTTTGACCGCATTGCTTGTTTGAATGTGACGAGAAACGACACACCTGTACAACCCGCCGTGCTAGCGTGCTCTGCTGTGGTATTCTGTTGTCAGTTTTCTTAACGTTCAAAAACCTCTATATTATTCACTGCTCCGATTTACTTGCTGCATTTAAGGCTAGGGGCTCGTGAGATATAACTCGTTAGTTCGTGAGAACATTACCATTTACGACAAGTTAGCCTACGAGGAACTTCGGTACATCGAGCATCTTCATTTTACCAAATTATAGATGGAGCTGCCTCTTGGAGCAAAGACTTGCCGCAGTGGAAAATTTGATTTGTGGAAAACTCAGACAAAAAAATGATGGCTACGACGATCGATTACTATTGTTTGCCAAGGCTAAAACATAATTAAAAATTAATTCGGAGACGATAGCATGCGGTCCACTAATCAGTTGTCTTTTACGCTGTCTATGCCCATTTGCTACTTCATGCGGCAGCATTCATCCTAACTGCTACAACCGTTTGAATATTTTAAGCTCTCCGTGTCTCGGCCAATCACCTTCCATCGTAATTTGGCCCGTGGTAGACTTCCGAGCGTAGTTTAGCCAGTCGGCAGGCCGAAAGCGCAGACTGAGTTACAGAACGAGAGCTGTGCTCTAGCTCAGTCCTTCCTTTCTCGTTTCCATCAGCTATGTCACCTGACACTAACTATTCCTTAAGGAGCTAATGGTAACTTCCCTTTCGATAAAACCCTGCATATTAGTTGCGCGTAGGTCTATATCAAGGTCATATCAAACATGCATACAACTATATCAGCTCATAGTAAACAGTCGATCACCAATCCTATAATCTCACATTCACAAGAAAGATATGGTACATGACAGCTTTGATTGTGACTTACCATTGAATGTTTCTAACTCCTGATATATATATTCAGCTTTTCCAGATCTCAGTCCAAACGATGTGACAAGCCTCCTTAAAAACACGAACCAAATGTGCGGTCGCCCCTTAGCAGCTGCTCAGATAGACGGACAACCGGCAACTAGAAGACACCCTCGACAGTAATTTCGAAGTCGAGCCGATGTCAAAGTTTTTCAATATCCATGAAGGACACATTATTCATGCCCCGAAAACTAACAAAGTGCACATCTCAATTTTTGTATTGTGCATATCGTTCTTTTTTAAAACTTTGGCGATTATTTTGCCTTGGAACTCGGGCTTTTTAACTTAAAACAAACTCATATTGACCCAATTGTAAAAAAAACTCGGCGCCTTGGTGGGATTCGAACCCACGACAGCAAGGTGGAGGCTTTAGTACATCCAACGATCTAACCACCTTAGCTACGAGGCCCCGCTGGACGACTCGAGTTTAATCACATTTGAGTCAACTTGCCCGCCCAACCTACTTCAACGTCTGGAACCCACCAAATCCGATACAATAAGTTGACTGCCCAAGCAGGATTTCCTAAGTAATTCACCTAGAATCCACCAGATGACTACCAGGCTCATGTAATTCATAGATGTTTTGGCAGATCTTAAATAATTAATATTGACCCAACTGTGAAAAACTCGGCGCCTCGGTGGGATTCGTGATTAAAACTCGCGTCGTCCGGTGGGGCCTCGTAGCTCAAGTGGTTAGAACATTGGCTGTACTGAAGCCTTCCCCTTACTGAGTGGGTTCGAATCCCGCCGAGACGCCGGGTTTTTCGCAGTTAGGTCACTATGAATTATTCAAGATCTGTCAAAACATCTATGAAGTAAAACAAACTCTCAATTCGCGCTCTCTTGGCTAAACAGCCACCCAAAAATGAAGTCGAAGTGCAGTCGAAATGAATGAGTTTGTGGTAGGTCTTCTTCCGATTTCAAAGGGTATTGACAATGCCCAAGAGGCCCTATAATAAACCTATTCTATTCTATATCTACTCGGGTATCCAGCCGTCCACATCGGTGTTATATCCAACCAGGTTTGGATGAAATGACCGGCCGGGCATTTTATCTTTGAGTGGCCTCAGCACATGGCTGGACCCCTACAGGCCCCAGCCCCCAATTTTATTAGAAGTGCGAGAAGGGTTTAACTGACCAATCCCTTTTAAGAGCCACAGTACAGTCGTTCTGTTGAGATGTGATCGAAGAGACGACTTCAACGAATGTGGTACATACGCCGTTGATTAAATACACCCCGTAGACGGGATGTTCATTATTTGCGTTACGGAACCCGCCCGCCCCAATGTGCCGTTGTGCCCTGCCAAAACCTTACGGCGGCACGTAAGATCGGCAGAATAACGCACTCGGTGAGAGTCCCTCTAGCACCGTTAGTATACTCAATCGTAATCGTCAGGAAAATGAGCCCGCGGTTTAATAGTTAGGGCATTGGACTTCTAACCAATGGGTTGCGAGTCCAGCCCCGAGGTTGCAAACCTCGCGGTGGGGTATGGCTGGCTGGTGACGGCCAACAGGCCCAAAGTAACCATTTCAGTCTCCTCTGACTTTGTTGGCAATGTTATTTTACCGGACACGCCTGTCACTGTCTGAGCTTGACAACTGGTTCGGTCCCTTCCACCCTCCCTCTATACGAAGGGCAAGGAGGCTGTAACTGACCGATTCTCTTCACAGACGTCTCTTCGTCTGACATGCAGTCAAAGAGATGATTTCAAAGACGTCGAATGAACACATCCAGGCAAATGATCAGTTCGTAGTGCACCGTTCATGCCCCATATCCACAAAAGACGGACTACTCTCAACATGGAATACCAGCTGATTTCACGCCCAATGAAGAAATTTATGCGCCGTCGGGTTAGGTCTGTATGAACTCTCAAGTAATTCGATGATTGTTTTAATTCCCTTTTTCCCATTAAGTAGAATTGAAAGATTTTTTAAGGACCTATGATCAAATCAAATGCAGCTAAGCGGAAGGGGGGTGTGAACTCAGAGCGCTGCAATCATTAGGCCAAGTCCACTGTTGTAGGCGAAGGCTAAAGTAGCCAGATTGAGAGGCTTGTTCTATACACAACCCTGATTTGTCCTCTCAGACGACAGGGGCCGCTGGCGAAGCCAGCGCTGGTGATAACTACTGCGTCCAGTCGTGCCTGAAAGTTACTGAGACAATGGCGGCCACTGCCTTTGGAGGTTTAAGGGACAAGCTCAAGTGGTGTCCAATTTGTGTGTGTATGCCCTCCAAACGGGCCACGTGTTAGATGCGCTGGACCAACACGGGGGCCACACCGGATTCTGGCAGGCGCTATCTGTGCGCAATAGCAAATCCCAACATGTAGGGGGTGCGCTGGCAGTCCCTGTTGTCGACAGCCGTCGCACAACTCGGCTCACTGCCACGCCCTCCATTGTTGTGCGGTAAAATCCTGGTTATTTGTTGTGTGGACCAGGGGGTGTGGTGGAACGCCAAGATGAGGATCCGTCCGAGCCATCCACCTGCAGCCTCCCTCGTCGCCGGTCTTCTTGACTCTGTCTTGACACCTGGCTCAGGCGGGGGAGGAGGAGAGAGTATAGGTAGATGCAGCGCAACCGCGCCCATTCCCCACTCCAGTCTACTGACCGGCTCGGACAGTGGCTGGGGTGTGGGAATGGGAAGGGAGAGTGAGGTCGACGACTCAGCGCATTTTCCTCACTATAATCAATCTGACGCGCTTGAAGCTATCACGGTGCGCTAAAAGCCGTGGCTTGGAAGGTTGCCAACTGACGGGGTACCTTGGACCTCCTCCTTAACGGGAGGCGGTCTGAGAGTCAGGCTGCAATGGCTCCTTTTTAATGTGGCCTTTATGGCATTCCCACCTCAGTGTGGGATCCGAGCCAGGCGTTGGCGGCACGCCCAGGTGCGGCTTCGGCCGTGCCAGCCTCCAAATCTCTGTTGTGTTGGTTGAAATCCTGGTTATTGTTGTGTGGACCAGGGGGTGTGGTGGAACGCCAAGGTGAGGATCCGTCCGAACCATCCACCTGCGGCCTCCCTCGTCTCCGGTCTTCTTGACTCTGTCTTGACACCGGACCCAGGCGGGGGAGGAGGAGAGAGTGTAGGTAGATGCAGCGCAAGTCTACCCGCACTATAAACCCCTGCGCAAGTCACCGTCCCTGCTCCCACCTGCTGTGGAGCACACGGTGGACATCGTCGAAATCGACGGTCGAACTGTCAGATGCAGCGCAAGTCTACTGGCACTATAAATCCCTGCGCAAGTCACCGTCCCTGCTCCCACTGCTGCTGCTGCAGCTGTGGGGCACACGGTGGACATCGTCGAAATCGACGGTCGAACTGTCGTGTGTGTGTGTGTGTGTGTGTTTTTGTGTTGCATTTGCTGAGGGGTAGTGTTTAAGTGGCGCATGAGCTACTGCGATTCTGTGGACGCATGTGTGTTCAAGCTGAGGTCGTTTGAGTGGCTGCAGGTCGGCTTGTCTGGAATCGCTCGCTGCGAAGTCGAATGACCTTGAGGTTTTGAACAAGGACACCAGACCTGGCCATGATGGCCGTCAGCAAAAAACCTACTTCCGCCGCATTCCGATTGTCCAAAACAAAGTATGCTGCATTTCTGCGAAGGAGCGCGCCAGAACTGTAATGCGTTTAGCGTAGTCAACACCCTTAACGAGGGGGCCACGATCGACCGTAACACCAGAATCAACCCACTGCGCTTTTTGAAGAGTCCAGTTCATCAGGCAGTTGAAGAGAACTGTTGGCAAAAAGCAACCCTGATGGGACATCGAAACTTCACCCTGCTCAATACTCACGCGGACTTGTGTCCATGTTTGGTGTCAGCATGCTTCAAATCGGGTGGCGAGTGTTAAGGCAGCGTCCAGAATTGCAGGAAGTCAAAGTGGATAACAATGTCGAAGGCAAAGTTACAGCCCAAAACCGGACGGAGGTAGCGGTGGCTGTTGCAACTTGGATGCGTATAAAGATTATTATGCGGAACCAAAGCAACTGGGAAACGTAGCTGACGGTGATTTTGTTAGATTAAATGTACGCATGCCAATCCTGATGTCCGACCGGTTAGATATCCTCTGAACACAGGAAGTTCATCTCAGGATCATGTGGCAGTCTGCGCCTCTTTGTTCCCCGCCGTTTTGTCATGCCGATCTTCTGTTTGCGCCATGCTTCCTGTCGATTCACTACTGGCACTGCGCAAGGCTTGTCGCTGGCCCCGCGTGTTCTCCAGGCCAATCAACGCTGTCCCCTCTCTGATTGGCTTGCAGACAATGCGACAGAGCGAAAGGCACACACACGCGCTGGGGGCTAATAACATCAACGGCAAGCACAGGAGAGCCAACAGCTGGCGCCAACCGCCTGCCTATCCTCTTGTGCAGTCTTACGTATCAGTAAATAGCAACGATAGTGTGTAGGATCCCCCAACTAACTTGAGCCAGCCTGTGGACTGTGTGATACGTTGAATGGCGGCAGAGGGGATTTTAAGGATGGGGCAACACACTGGACGGAGAGCAAGGAGACACAGAAAATAGATAAATTTCTACCGAAAATCTTATCATGCGCCGTCATTTGGCAAAGAAGGTGAGCGCGATAATGGAGAAATAAACGAAAGGCAATTTTCAAAAAATAATTGACTTTGAATAGAGCGCCGTTAATAAATTTGCGTTTGGTCAGGCAATAAAGGGAGTTCCAAAAAAATGGGAACGGCGGACAATAAATGGCGTTCGGAAGAAGAAAATGATGATTATGATGATGATGCTGATGGTGATGGTGATGGTGATGATGATGATGATGATGATGATGATGATGATGATGATGATGATGATGATGATGATGATGATGATGATGCGATCACTGGAACAGGAATTTTACTGGCCTGCCGTCTCGAATTCTAACTCTAACCCATCTTCAGAGACTGTTGCAGATGAAGGGATGTTCACAGTCACATTGAGTTTTAGGGAATATTTTTGAAGTTCCCGTCTACGTGGGGTCCTAAACCCTATCGTTACCCTGTAACTTTCACCAACCCCGTTCGTCTTCTCTGACTTCTGACTTGGAAAATCTTTGTGTTGTCGACTATAACAACTTCCCTTGCTTAATTTCCGAGGAGATTAACAACCTTCGACATTGCTATCACTATCGCCTTGGTTTCGCCTTCAACAGATGAGCCCTTTTTAACACTACGAAAAATTGCCCCGAGCTAAATAATTTAGGAACGTGATTTCCTCTCGCTGTGTCCAACACACCCAGTTCGACTTCCTAGCAATTTTGCTTTAGACTGGGATCGCAGGGGGGGGGGCGCTTATAGGGCGCAAGTATACGTATAGTTTCTGTTTTCTAAAGTGTCCGGTTTCCAGCTTAGCTGACGCTTCGGAATTTCCACATGGCATCGAACCATTTTAGCATGAAGTCCACTGAATGGGAAATGCAGAACGTCCTAGTCACTGGGATTTTATACTCGCTCGAACGTGTAAGAGATTCTAGTGTTTAGTAGTCTACCGCGTCCTCAAAGGCCAAAAGAGGCACGACAACCCCGAACTACTGTTTATGTCTTCAACTTTAAGTTTGTCCTAAGTGAGTGGCTGACTTCCAAACACGCGAGAGAAAATTGCCGTCTCCGACTGTTCTCCAACAGGTGGAGCCGGGGAATATACAGGCGATGGGGTCAAGTAGTTGTATGCAAAAGAAGAACAACTGGGAATGTACGGTTGTACTTTGGGTGGTTGAGGAATAGTTGCCCTAACGCCTAACCTCCAACTCTAATCCCTACCTCCACCCCTAACAGTATTTTGTTCATCCGGTTGGACTACATAACCACATCTTACCGAAGATTTCAGTCTGCGACTCTTCCACAACAGTCAGCGACGGTTACTAGCCCACCAGTGACAAACCGACCTTCAGTCTATTTTGGTAAGACATTTTTATTAGGCTGGTAGTCAGCTTCTCCAGTAACTATTAGAGGCCTGTGGTCAAGGCGGTATAGCACCAGTCCAAGCAATCCTGTTTTCGGCTGCATTCTTGTGCATACTGCTGCCGTAGGGTTCACGGGAGTCAACACTCCGGTGACGTCAACTTTATTCATCCTGCGTTCATACAGTATGCCCAGCTTTCTAGAAATAGGCAACGACCACCGGTGGGTGGCTTAAAAGACAAAAAGTGTCCTAGAACCAGTGTATTCAGCTTTCTCCATAAAGCCAAACTTGGCTAGTGCTGAATGACTTCTGGTTGATTTTGGAAGACTATGCAACTGCTTACCAGCTATAGCAATCAAGTCCTCGAGCGAAGAGCATTAAGGATTATGGTGCAAGCGAATTATCACCAAGTCAAGAACGGCCCTCTGCTACAGTTTTTTTATTTGAAAGATTCATATACAAATAAAAAAAATTGCCTAACCCTCACTGCCTCCTAACACCCCGTCCCTTATTCCTTCTGCCCTGTTCTCACAGCGCACTTGTGGGAAAAGATGGACTGTAATCCATTTCTTTTTCCTCTCACATTATTTGCTTGTGCTCCGTTCCCATCTGAATGCACTTGCCCGACGGAAATTTATCGAGGCAAGCGTTTGCCCGCTAACTAGTCTTCTGAATCTTCCCATGAGAATTTTCGCGACTCGAGAACCACATCGTTGGATTTGCTGATAGAAGCGAACAGGCGAGTCCCAGGTAGCAGTTCAGAAGATGAAGATGCGATCACTGGGGCAATGATCGCATCTTCATCTTCTGAATCGTTGGATTTACTGTTTTTTTAAGATCGCAGGGAAAATTTCTGCACAGAAGACGTGAATAGCATCCGCTATGTCAGCAAATGTGACCAGGTGTTCACATTTTGAGGAGCATCTCAAGGCCATCTTGCCGAGCATAGATTTCATGATAGCACAAAAAAAGAACATTTTACTTACTTTTCTTGATGCGTTTATATGTTGCGAAGATTGCGGTAGTCTATAAACCAAAGTATTCAGGAAAGTGACAGGCACAACGCTCATATTGGATCTTTACACAAATCACTAAATTAGTCACCGATGAAGTTGCACAAGGAATCACGGCAAAAAAAAACAGGAAAACAGGGATCCTAGTTATTATGTTCTTTTCAGAGACTCATCAGAGCCAGCGGTTAGCCGTAAGAAATCGTTAAACGACGTTGAACGCAAAAAGAAAGCGGAATGGCGGAGCATTCAGTACATAAAGGAGGTCTCCGATGCCGTGGCTAGATGCTTCACGCCACTCAGAACAGGAGCTGCTGACAGCTCTGACTCAACAATCCGACGGCAGTTGATGCTGCCAAAAGACCCTATCCCTGACCAGGAGATGTCGGCTGTGGTCTACCGACTTCACTGCAGCAGTGGGATGTGCAGCTACGTTGGGGGGGGCAACCTCTGCCGCGCAAATAGGACACCTCTTTAAAGTTGACGCCGTCGAGATCGTGGGCAGAGGTGATGATCTTACAGCAGGGCAGATGCAAGAAGTCTGGATGTCCACCGACGGTTCTGGCAACCGCCACATTTGCATTAGGTGGGCTAACTCATGAAATGTCAACCGAAATTCCCAAATGCGTTTTCATTTCGAAAAGATTAATTAAGTAGAGTTTTAAAACTGGTCAGCCTACAACAAAATTCTATAATATTTCAGTTATCTCAGGAGGCCGGCGTTCTAACGAACATCCTTTCTGCTGCGTGTAAAATTTACACACTGTAAAAATGACTACTTATGTAGCATGCATTTTTCTCATTGATTTTCGACGCCCCTAAATGTCCAATTATATTTCATGGATAATGTGCATAAAAATATTCATTCTTTTGCTCATTCGGTAGATAATTACGTCTTCTTTTAATTTTATGCTCGAAGGAGAGACATAACTCGGTTTTAAAAAAGGTTTTCCAATTCCTGAATAATTTTGAACCCGCTCTACTGTTAAGCCTGCATTCCGGATTTCGGAACAACAAGCCGTATATTTCCCCCGTACGGAAAACCACCCATTTCTCTACGGGAGTAAAGGGGGACTATATAGGGTTCATAAAACTTAACAGTGGAGTTGATCCATATTGTTAATTTTACAAGCCACATTGGTAAATGCAGAGACATGACGATTTATGAACGGCCATTTCACGGAATTTAACAGTTCCACAATTAGAAACTTTTTAAAGCCAAGTTATGTCCCTCCTTTGAGTAGAATATTGGAAGTAGACGTAGTTTTCGATCGAATGAGCAAAAGAATTACAGTTTTTTATGCCTGTTTTCCATGAAATATAATTGGACATTTAGAGGCATCGAAATTCAATGAGAAAAATGCATACCAATTAAGTAGTCATATTTTACAGAGTGCAGTTTTTGTATGTAGCCGGAAGGATGTTCCTTCGAAAGCCAGCATCCTGAGGTAACTGAAGTATTATAGAATGATACTGCGGGCTAATTAGTTTTACAACCCTGCATAATTAATCTTTTCGAAGCGAAAACATATTTCGGAATTTCGGTTGACATTTCATGAGTTAACCCACCTACTGTATTTGCTTTCCCTTATCTGGTTTTACGAACCTTCTTGACGGCGCGGGACAATCGGGACCTTCAACTATCTCCGCGGTCGACGAGAGCGGGGCTGATACAAGTCACGGTGAAATACGAATCGGATTCAGCCATTCAAGCGGCACCGGTGGGCTACGCATCAAACAAAGTGCGTCACATAATGGGGGCTGTGCGCACGACCTTATTCTGGTCTGTGAAGATGGGTAGGCGAAATAACTGCTCGAAATGTCTGACCTCCAGTGAACCTCTCCTTGTGAACACCTCTTCCTTTCTTGATGTGCCACTCAAGATTATTGATCGACTGAATATGCTTTCTACCTAAGCTCTTAGAGAATGGCTCGGCTTTGCGAAACGCTTTATGCAAAGACGACAGGAAAAATCAAAACCCGCCCAGCAACAGTTTTTGTGGGTACCCTTGTCAACATCTCGGAAGCCGTTAGCCGCCCTCCCATGGTAGCACCACCTGTGTAAAGTAATAACGGCAAGACCGTTCCGGCTTACTCAAAAAGCCCACAAAAATCCCTTACAAAATGTTGCGTGATTGCGGGTAGGGGGAGCTTCACTGAAACGACAAGAAGAGCACCTCAAACGCAAATATCAGAACAAGTTTCGGTGTCGCAAAGGGGACGAATGACACTTTTTGCCAAGTCGTGGCTCATTCGAAGGGACTCGGTCACACATTCCGCTTAGTGGAGGCCAAAATCCTCACAGCGGGAGCCGTGTGATTCACACACGATGAGTCATGGTTCTCTGCGGCCAGCGCCGCCCGGGAAGTGCTTAGGCGAGCTCTACTCTCTCTCTGGCAGTGCCCGTGGGACGAAGGGCTTAGTCATTACTTTGCTAATAATCAACGCTGGTAGTCAAATCGCGGCGGCCAAGGGCTCCGGTGCGAACGGCCAAATCATTATTACATCAAACACGAGAAGCCGTGGTGACTGTCGAAACCACGTGTTGACGCTTCGTCC